AGGTTTCGTCGCATGTAGGCGCACACTCGTCTGAATCTCTGACTGAGGCGTTAAGAGACATGATAGTGATATTCAGGAACAATGGGCTGGATGAACTCAACTGTTGACTGGTCACCGCCAGTGGCCTCTCAGAAACAAAGAAGTGCCACTAGTAATGAAATCAAGATATGCTGACTATGCACCAGACACGCCTCTTGTACCAGTTGAGAAAGCACAACGTCTGCGTTATCCATTCCAAACCTTAAAACAAGTTTTCTACATTCTCAAGGTCTTTAAAAATAATCCAAATTCTTACTACATATGATGAGACCGAAACAACGCGACATGCGGCACTTGGACAGGTGTTACTGTCAGAGCGCTACGTAGCGTTTAACTTGTATCGCAGAGCGCCCACTCCCCAGTAAACGGCTCGTCTGACTCCTATTTTAATCGGGGGCCTGCCGGCAAAGTCGTTCGCCCCAGCCTGACCCGGATTCCTCTGTCCAGCGACGCCGGGCCTGAGCTCCGCGGCGCGCATTGCTGGCATAGCGCTGTCCCACGGCTCACCGGTCGTGGCGCCCGTCGCTCGCTCTCCCGGGTCGACCGGGCCGTCCCACAGCCAGCTGCCGGGACGGTCCCACGATCAGCTGCACTGGCAGACCCATGACCAGCTGTCCCGACTGACCCACGACCAGCTGACCCGACCGAGCCACGACCAGCTGTCTGGAAGGTCCCATGACCAGCCGACCGACTCACCACCAGTTGTCTGTACTGTTCCACAACCATATGTCCCGAACATCCCACGGCCTGCTGCTAGGACGGTGGCGCGATCATCTGCCCGGGCCGCCCCACGACCAGCTGATAGGGTCGTCTCACAACCACCGCAGAGCCGACAGCACCCGCTGCTCGGCTCGCCGGGCTGTCCCGTGGTCACCGTCACACGTGGCCTGCTGACTGGGCCGTTCCAAGGCTTTCGGCCGCTCGCATCCATTATAGACTTTGACCTTGCTCTTTCTAGGATAACATTTAGCAGGGGAGGAAGCGAACATCGCACGTTGGAAGTGCGAGCGCGGTATTATGCTTTGCAAAAGTCTTCAGGCGGCCCATTGGCGAGTGGCAGTATGTCTCGGAGCCGTCGCATCCCCAGATCTGCCGGGTGCCGGTGCTCGCCAGTACAAACATGAGTGCGTCCCTGGAAGGACTTCGCGATTGGTCAAACCTGGTCGCTGTCTGTCCCACTTGTTTAGACTAGCCTACTTGACCTTCTGGGAATTCGCCATAATGGATCGCAGATTCTCCGCCTGCCAGTGTCATCTAGCGGTGTTTATCTAGCGGTGTAGAGCAGGCCGAATACGAGACTGTGACCGATGGTTCGATGTTAACCAAGCGGAACATTTTCCACTTCGCCTTTAGAGTGCGGCTAAATTTGCACCCGTGAAAACCGCGGAAGCCTCCCAGCTATCGCGCTGGCCGTAATGATATGGGCAGGCTCGACGGGTCAGACAGAACAGGCGCACCGGTGGTCAGAAGACGCTGGCGTGCTTGGAGGCCTGGCGTTGACCTGAGGTCAGCCGGGCAGGCGGCGTGATGGGCTGGACCGAGCCCGTCCTTGTCCTTGTCCAGCTCTGCTCCGTCGGCAGTCAACCCGTCACGCCCAGACTGTTTACACGGAGCCGCTGTCGCATAACACACACGCCGAGTCTCGGCACAAAAACGAAGCCATTCATGTCTTTAATCGAAGCGGATACATGGCCAAGGACCGGCGGGCGGCACCTTTGCAGAGACCCTGTCAGCGTTGCTCGTGCCGTGGTCTTTGTCGAGTTCGGTGGATATAGCCGAGGGTGACGACACTATGATCAGTGAGATGAGATGAAACTTGCCCTGATTTTCCAGGCATGGGGCGTCACGTACAGGGAATATGCTTGCGCAAGACAGTTATATGGAAGCCTGTCGGTTGCCCGCTAGAAGCGCGGAATGAATTCCATCTGGTATGTTTACCTGTAGAAACGATAAAAAACTCGCCTTGGCTCGGGTCAGCCTATAGCTTCGACGCAACCTCTGCTTCAAGGAATATAGACTGACATGCATGCTTCTTGCTAATCTTTTCCATTTTACAAGAAGGTCAACGTTCTGACGTCAGGTTAAGCCACAAATCCGACTGAACAACGGCAGCATGTCATGCTCTCTTCTCATGACTGTTGGGAGCGACATTCCACTACCTGACGAAGTTAGGAGACAGTGTTGCTGCTTAATTCCCACTCCCATCCATTTTAACCGCATCTGCCAGTGGTACGGATGAGTCAACAGACTTAACTTTCTCTAGCAGAGACACGTCGCACGTAAAATCCAAAATACAACACCTTGATTTGTACCGAGTCTTTCGCATAGCGGCTTCGCAGACAACGAAACCCCGAGCGCTGCCGTGCGTCAGTGGGCCAGTCGGCGCGCTCAGATGACGCGCATGACACGGGCGAGGCCGCCGTCACCCGGGAGCGGCGCCAGAGCCCCGGCGGGGCGGCACGTCCGGCGGCGGCGGCCGGCTCGGGCGGCGTGTCACCGGGCCGCCGGCGCCGCTGACGGCCGCCAGATACCGGCCGATGCTGCTCCCTCGGACGCGGCGCGCGGCCCCTGGCGGCCGCTGTCGCCGCCGCCGCTCCCGGCCGCCTCTAATGTGCACGCCAATGATGTATGGGCGCGGACCGGGCCGGCCGGCCGGCCCGCGAGGCTGCGCCAGTGTCAGCGACCTTGCCCGGCCCCGCCGCCCCGCGTAAATAGGCCGGGCAGGGCCGTGGCGGGACGGATCAGAGGCAGTGTGGGGACGGTCGAGGCCGGGACAGGTGACGCGCGGGGACGTGACAGGCGATGCAGGGGACAGGTGACGGACAGAGTCCAGTCACCAGGACCGGCAAAGAGCGCCGACTGGGAGGGGTGACGCACGGGAGTAGGGACAGGAGACACGCGGGACTGGGCCCGGTGACGAACCGGGATTGTGATAACCGACGAACAGAGACATTCTTCGGAGACTGCCTCCGTTGTGGCAGGAACTTGCGGCGAGTAGGGATTGGCGCAGACGACAGACTGAGTCTGGGACTGGTGACGGACGGGTCTGAGACGGGCGTCGGGCTGAGCTTGGGAGCTTCGTACTGAGTGGGACCGGCGCCGGACTGAGCCTGGGACTGGTGACGGACGGGTCTGAGACGGGCGTCGGGCTGAGCTTGGGAGCGTCGTACTGAGTGGGACCGGCGCCGGACTGAGCCTGGGACTGGTGACGGACGGGTCTGAGACGGGCGTCGGGCTGAGCTTGGGAGCGTCGTACTGAATGGGACCGGCGCCGGACTGAGCCTGGGACTGGTGACGGACGGGTCTGAGACGGGCGTCGGGCTGAGCTTGGGAGCGTCGTACTGAATGGGACCGGCGCCGGACTGAGCCTGGGACTGGTGACGGACGGGTCTGAGACGGGCGTCGGGCTGAGCTTGGGAGCGTCGTACTGAGTGGGACCGGTGCCGGACTGAGTCTGGGACACGCGTCGGAGCGAGTCTAGGACAGGTATTGTGCAGAGTCTGGGGCAGACCACGTACGAGGATTGGCGCAGAAGACAGACGTACATGTTCTCTGCAGGTGGTACATGACTCGTGCTGGAAAAGGTGAAGCCCGGGGGTGGTTGCTGTTAGTGAGACAGGCGAAGTACAGGAATGTTCCTTGGTGGTGGGACAGGGGCAGTTGGTCTCTGGCGGCAGGGCAGGCAACGGGCGGGGACGGTCGCGGGCGATGAGCAGGCGGCAGACAGGACTGGTGCTGAGACAGGTAAGCAGAGGCGCGAGACCGGGTGTCACGGCCAGCCGCTGGTCTCGACACGCTGCACACTGGCCGACGTCGTGCCCTGACCGACACAACACGGCGTCGCGCTTGGTGCCATCAGTCATGTACCCGATCAAGGGGACGCACGCGCCCGATGCGAAGCCAACCGCCGATGAAACGGCCGATAGTCGGCGGCGAGTCTGTGGAGCTGGCGGCGGTCGGCGGCGCCCAGGGCCGCGGCCGGGGAAGGCTAGATCGGGTACATTCCTGTGGGCCGGTGACGCGAGCGCGATATCCGCCGGCGCGCGCGGCCGCTTCTGAAGACGTAAAAAAGCCCAGATCGGTCAATTACGCCGCCCGCTGCTGGGGCACGTGCACCGGGAATGCCGATGTGTCGGACGGCCGGAGCCGGCCGCCCGCCGCCCTCAACGCGGCGTTTTTTTACGGATCGGACGTGGGAGATGGCCGGACTGGGAGTATTGGCGTAACTCGTCAGGGGTCGGTTGGCCCTGTTCCCGTGAGTGGAAAGCAGTGTCGCCGAGGGTGGAACTTGGCTGCTGGTGGGGTAGTGACTCGACGGCATGGACACGGCAGGCTATTATATGTCAAAACCAGGGCTGCACCTTATTGATGGGAGGCTTTACGACTTCATGACGGAACAACGGTCTCATGTTAGAGTTTCGACGCATATCCTGTACGCCAGACAAGCTCAGTCCGTTACATACGGCAGGCAGCCGCTATTTCCGGTGGTTTTGTGCCAACTTAAAATCGGCCTTCCGTCTGCGCTATTCTGGCAGATCGGCCAAGTAGTGTAGATATACTTGGTTTACGTGGAACGTTGCCGAATGAAATTCACACCCCCGTTTTGCTTACTTTCCGATGCAGTTTGTAGTAAAGGCCATGCATTTTCGAGAGATGATGAAACGCTCTGAGTCGCATTTCCGTCGCTGCAGATCTTCAAACGATTTGGGTTTGTACTTCCCGACATGCTCGCACCATTGAGTGTTCCATTTCGCTCGTTCGCGCGCTCTGCGCACTGCCTATGTGACAACCAACACGTAACCGATGGTACCAAGTGGGGAACGTTATTGTTGTGATGTCAGGTAGAAAGTGGGCGCTGTTACTTTGGTTCTTTCAGCTCTGTGTAGTGTGAGCGTCACGTGCAGCACGTGCACGGACGTGCACCGCACGCTGAACATGACGTGCATCGTCGGTCTTCGCAGAGCGCGTCACGCCACGCCATGGCCGCCAACCAGCAGTTCTGCCTGAAGTGGAACAACCACCACAGCAACCTGCTGAACGTGTTCGAAGCGCTGCTGCACACGGAGGCGTTCACGGACGTGACGCTGGCGGTGGACGGCGCCTCCATCAAGTGTCACAAGATGGTGCTGGCCGCCTGCTCGCCGTACCTGCAGACGCTGCTGGCCGAGCACGTCACCACGCATCCGATCGTCGTGCTCAAGGACATTCGCCTGCACGAGATGCGCGCCCTGCTCGAGTACATGTACCGCGGTGAGGTGAACGTGGCGCAGGAGCAGCTGGGCTCGCTGCTCAAGGTGGCCGAGACCCTCCAGATCAAGGGTCTGGTGGAGGAGGGCCGCTGGGAGCGGCACAAGGTCGAGGGCGGCGGCGCCGAGCGCGCCACCATCGAGCCGCGCCAGCCGTGCCCCGACTCCAACCGCCGCTCCCCAGAGCCGTCGCCTCCGCCGGCTTCGACGCCGGCACCGGCGCCGCCGCCGCCCGGCCTCAAGCCACCGCCGCCACCCGAGCCGCAGCAGCACCCGCTCCACCCCGCTGCGGCGTCCTCAGCGGCGGCGGCGGCGGCGGCAGCAGCAGCGGCCGCCGCAGCTGCCGCCGAGCTGCAGAAGAAGAAGCGGCGACCGCAGGAGGTCTGGTGCGAGAGCAACCCGATCCTGCGCACGGTTTTGGGCCATGGCGGCATGTCGGGCCTGGACGTGCCGTCGCTGATGGCTGCCGCCATGGGCCGCGAGATCATGGACCGCGAGTTCGCCGACAGACAGGTACGGCGCTGCGATGGAGGCTGGCTGGTACTGGGTGTGTTAGGGGCTTGGACGGCACTGGCTGTATCGAGGGTTTCGCCGGTACTGGGTGTGTCTGGGGAATGGGAGGTGCGGGACATTGTAAGGGCCTGGCTGGTTCAGGTCTGCACTAGGAGCCTGGGCGACACGGGACTGCGCCAGGAGCCGGGCAGGACGGGTCTTTACGAGGGGCCTGGCCTGTGCGGTGGCTCCGTCGGGACCTGGCTGATACGGGTCTGCGCCAGGAGCGTAGGAAGGCGGGGCTCTGTCACCGATGGGCTTATGTCGAGAGTACCACGGGGCTCTGTCATCGATGAGGTTATGTAGAGTTCCACCGAGCTCTGTCACGGATGAGGTTATATGCAGAGTTCCACAGGACTCTTCCACCGATGGGGTTATATGCTGAGTTCTGCAGGCTTCTGTCACCTATGGGGTTATATCGAGAGCTCCACAGGCTTCTGTCACCCGTGGGGTTACATCGAGAGCTCCACAGGATTCCTTTGCCCGTAGGGTTATATCGAGAGCTCGACAGAGCTCTGTCACCCATGGGGTATGTCGAGAGTTCCACAGAGCTTTGTCACCAATGGGGTTATATCGAGAGCTACACAGGACTCTGTCACTTATTGGGTTACACTGAGAGTTCTAACGGGCTGGTCGGACTAAAGTTCACCTTCAGTCAGTTGGTTAACGAGTACGGGACACCGTCAATGGTCAGGAATCCTGACGGGCTGCCAGCTCAAGGATCAGAGTGGTGGGCATTTGATCTGGATGGTGGGCATTCGGCAGGCTGTCAGGGCTAGCTCTGCTGATAACCAGATACTTGCTGGCAGTTACACTGTTAGACGATGCATACGATTATAGGGCCGTATCGGAAATTTCAAAGCAGAGCGGGTTTTGAGCGGTGGTCAGTGAAACTGGACATGGACGCCGGACGGTGACGGAAACTGTATTCCAAATATCTACTAGTGCTGACGTGCGGTCTATTCTGGGAAAATTCCCCAACTTTTGTGGAGAGTGGCTTGGTCTACAGCCTCGCACATACCCGACGATCTCACGAATGTGACAGTCCTTTTTCTGATCTGAGCCGAACTTGCCGAGTAAATCTGAGCTCATTTTCACGACATAGATGGGTCGTAAAATTTAGAATAAACGAATTTGAGATGGGCGGATGGGAGATGGACGTGTGATTAGATAGTTTGAAGACATTGATAGGAGCGAGAACAAGCTTCTACGATTTGTCTAAGCCAGTCTTGGCCGTCCAGTCAGGAGCTCACCCACCGACGGCTCTGTTCCCGTCGGCTCGTCGTGGATGTCCCACACTCGGCCTTAGCCGTCCGTTCAGGAGCTGACCAGACCGACGACTCTGTTCCCGTCGGCTCGTCGTAGACGTCCCACACTCGGCCTTAGCCTTCCGTTCAGAAGCCGACCAGACCGACGGCTCTATTCCCGTCGGCTCGTCGTGGATGTCCCACACTCGGCCTTGGCTGTCCGTTCAGAAGCTGACCAGACCGACGGCTCTGTTCCCGTCGGCTCGTCGTGGATGACCCAAACCCGGCCGTAGCCTTCCGTTCAGAGGCCGACCAGACCGACGGCTATGTTCCCGTCGGCTCGTCGTGGATGACCCAAACCCGGCCGTAGCCGCCCGGCCAGGAGCTGCCCAGACTGACGACTCTGTTCCGGTCGGCTTGTTGAGCATGTCCCACACCCGGTCCCAGCCGTCCGTTCAGGAGCTGACCAGACCGACGACTCTGTTCCCGTCGGCTCGTCGTGAATGTCCCCACAACGGGCTGATCACTTTACGCTGGGCAACCTTGCCTACGTCAACCTCTGCCAGAAGAGCATCGCCTGAAGAACAGACGGCAGTCGTGCCGGATCTCGCCGGGCCTCGCCGGCTGCGGTCGGAATGGCACGGCATCACTGGCCAGCCGCCCTGACCGCTCGGTTGAGACCCTCACGGGCATCCGTTGGCCATACCTGCCCGAAGCCCACTCCTACTCTGCCCTTCCCATCCGTTACCTTGCTGCTCACCGTTCTCCGGGATTTAATTAAGAGTATACATCGTGACTGAGAGTACCAAGGCATCGTGACTGTGATTTCGGAAGTTGTGCTTGTAGATTTACCAGCCCGCACGGGTAGTTCCAAAATGCGTGTGTGGAAGGTCTTGGGGTCGAGCCCCGCTGGAAGTTTTGTTGTCCCTGCCCCGAAAATGGGCGCGGAGATTTCAGCGCTAAGGAACCGGTAGGGTTGAATGCCTCGTTTAAGCTCCAAATTACTGGTACATCTACCCCAGCTGTAGCCATTGTATGGGCGCGTTTGGCGAAGGAAAAATTATTCAGCCAATACCTCTCTGGCCGGTAATTATGTTCGGAGATTCTCCATTTGCGTTCGGCAAACCGAATTTCCCCCCCCCCCCCCAGTTTCGTCTTTCTTGCAACATGCATAACCAACGGTCGTAAGAAGGCATGGCGAAGAAAGGTGCTCCGTCCCTACCAGGCCCTGAAAATGATCCGGGATTCTCCCATGGCACGGAGGAGATCTGGGACAGTGCCTCATGTTGGCGGTGTCTTGCGCCGTTCTGGATAATTTTCCAACATTCCGGACAATTCTCCGAGATCATCTGCAGTCCGAACGTACCCTATATCGCTGCCCACGGCATACCCGCCCTGCGACGGCCTATGCTGATCACCCCAGCAGCGGCGCGGAAGCGCGGACTGCCCGGGGCGCCGGCGCCGGCCCCGCCGCCTGAGCGGGTGACGCCGCCCACGCGACGCCCCTTCCTGTGACGTCGCATCCCGCGCCACTCGGCCGCCACCGGAGCCGCGCCGGCCGCTGCTCGGCCGGCACATACCTGCTCCACTTCAGCGGACCGGGCCGGGGACGGGGACGGAGCGGCGCCCCCGGCCTGCGGCGCCCGACCGCGCCCGCGCTCCGCGGGTCGGGCCGCGCCGGCCCGCTGGACCGCGCGGCTCGGTCTGCTGCGGGTGGGAGGCTCGGCGACGCGCCGGCCCCAAATCGTGCAGTCGCTTAGTGCAATGGTCAAATGGGGTTTTAAAGTCGCTATCTGTGGTCAGTCACCAATGTTTTGTTATTCGAGAATCATGGTTTGTGTCCACATGGAGGAATTCGGTGCGGTTTTCCATTTTTGATCTTGTTCTAGCGCTAGGAGTACGTACGGATGGGCTGGGCTTGAAGAAATTGGTTTATCAATAGGTGTTTCTGTGTTATATGTGTAAAAAGCTGTGATATGCTCTCCTGATAAATATGCTTTTCTGGTTGTCAGGAAATTTTACATTACGCAGCAGTGATTGTGCCCGATTTGAGACTGGTTTGGGTGCTTAATGGGTGCTAATTTGGGTGCTGGATTGTACTTGGAAGTGCCTCTTTCTTCTTAACGGTGTTACGGCCCATAGCCAAACGGCCGAAGGCGAAATAAGGAAAGTTGCCATATTTGGCTCCTTAAGAAGTCTTTTCAGTTAACTAGCTGCGCCATGGAATCGTATTTTTTCTTTTCAGAGTAATTTAAGTTGGAAACCTTTTATGTACGCAAAGTTTCCTGAAACAAACACCAGCGCCCCAGCAATACACCATCCATAAGAACCGATTAAGTCAACTAACTGTTGTGGATGCAATTTTATGGCCCGCTTGTATTGTTTTATTGATGTTTCCCAAATCATGCCCCTAAATGTTATGCACAATGGCCTGTATAAAGCTGTCGCTTTTGCCGCACATTTAGACGACCACATTTCATTTACACTGTGACCCTAAATGTTATGCACAGTGGCCTGAATAAAGCAGCCGTTTTTACCACATGTATAGACGACATTTAGTTGCAGTAAAGCGCAGCTAATACCAATTTGTCTGTACTGGAAACTATGCTCTGCTGCTTTCCTCCAGATTATATCTATTTAGCTTAATCCAAGGCGATAGCGTGGGTTCAGGGTCAAGTCATCTAAAATGTAACACTCTGTATAAACCACGCGACTTCAGAAATATTAACGTACCATCCATAAATATTGCCGTTGCTTATTGCCGCTGGTGGCCGTTATACTCTACTCCAAACCGGAAACGACACACATCTGGCTACCGGATGCCGAAGGCCGCGTCGCACGGCGGGACATTAGATGCAGCCGGCATGTGTCCCCGACCAAACACATGGAGCCCGCGTGTGAGCAGAGGGAGGAAACATACGGCTCTCGGATGCACTCCGTCCGTGCCATTATACACAGTTAGACTGGCAATAAGGCCATAAATGCTATGACCATGTATCTCGGCGAGTTATGTCGACCTACATTGCTTCCATCAACAAATGCCGCTCTGTAGATGTTCCGCCGAGCTCCACCAGATGGTACCGGGACCCGCGGATTGCCGATGTTCCGCCCTGCTAACACCACCACTGAAGACTATGTCAGTACCCTGCGCCCCTGTAGGCCCAGCCGTGACTCCACCGACACCCCCTCTCGCGCCGGCAGCCGTGCCGCACCTCTTGCTCAGCTTGCCTGCCGCGCCGGCTGATGCCGTTCGTCGTGTCCCGGACCGCGTCGTGGTCCACGTACTTGGCCGTTTCGCCGGGGGCCCTGCGCTCGAGACGCGCCTGCGCCGGCCCCGTCGACCTGGCAGCCACAGTCCGCACCGGCCCCGTTGACCCGGCGACCGCAGTCCGTGCCGCCGTCACGTGTTTCCGGCGGCTCCTGTTGTACGGATTGGCAGCGCGCCACTGCGACCGGGCTGGCGCGGCGCGCCACTTCCGGCGCGCGCTCGGCAGATCTGCCGGCGAACGGCCGCCGATATCGGATGGTGTTGCTACCTGACACAGCTTTGTGTCGCATGGCCCGGCGACACCGGACACCCCCCACCCCCGCGTGCTTGCATCGGCCCCTGCATCCGCTGCAGGTGCCGCGCAGTGTCCTCGGCTGGCTCTCGCGCAGCTGCGGGGCGCGCCGCTGCAAGGCCTCGTCGCCGTGCAGGTTTTTTGCAACCTGGTA